AAAAATATAATTTTTTAATAAAAACGTTGGTTTTTTAATAACTTGAAACTATGTAAAAAAATATTTTGACAAAAGTAAATACTTTTTTAAATAATGAGTGTTCAATGATAAAAGAATCACCCTGTATATATAATATGTATATAGTCTATACRTTATATTAATAATTAAAGAAAAATTACTAACACAACCAATATTGCTAAATAGACATCAGACATATATTGCATATTTTAAATTTTATAAATTGATTTTTAACTTATTTTACTCTTGAATTATTCAATGTTTATCTACAGACATGTTCAATATATACAATTGTTTTTATTAAATTAATAAAACATGATTTTACCTTTTGTCTGAATGTTTTCCACCACCTGACTACTATTATCATTAGCATCTTCACTGAGTTTGATACTATTATCAAATTTAGATCTCACAAGTTTTTCTCGGTCTTCTAGTTGATCTAATTCTATAAGTATTTTTGCTTCAATATAACTGAACTCACGCTGGCGTTTTAAAATTCTTTCCTAAAAATAGTATAAGTAATGAATAATTTAAAAATTAAATTTGGCGTTTATTAATGAAATTAATCAATCTAAACTACGTAAAATTATAATTTACTCGAATATCTTCATCAGAATCTTGTTTTAATTGTTTATGACTAGATATTTTCTGTTCTTCATCACTTTCATCAGATGACTCAGATTCTGAACCATAAACTCCGAGCCCTTTAGAAAAAGTAATTATTTATTTATTAGGTATAGCAGATTAATAATAAAAAAAAAAAAATGTAACTAAAGATGATGTATCTAATAAAAAMCAAATTAAATTGTACAAAAAGTTAAGTATTTAATTATCTATTTGATTTATTGATGATTAAACGCAACAGTCTATAGCTTCACAATATAGTATAACGCAAATTCAAGTGATGGAATTACCACATTAATATTACTGTAATTAAATTATTTCAAAAACTTACCCAGCTTACCAGCTAATGATGTTTGGTTTTGATTTCCTTGAATATCTGTTACATGGCATATGGTAATTTTGATAATATTACATTTTAAAAAGAAATTAAAAATATAAAACATACAAAACATATAATTTTTTTTTTATACTTTTAATTAATAATTTACTTACGCTATCAAACTAATTAGTAGAGGTTTATAATTATTAATAAATATTACCTGTTTGTAAAGAAGTTTTCAGCACGTCTTTAACTATATTTAACATCATATCATTAGTAACATCCATTAACAATTTTGTTAGAATTTTCCGTAGACTTAACATCTGAAATAATTTAATTCAAATACAATTAGTATTAATAATATTTTAAAATATAAATATCAGAAACAATAGAAAACTTAGTTTTTTTTGTTTGTTGTAAACACAAATAAATGTTAAAAACTGTATTACCGTATCTTCCCAGATTTGAGCTTTAGTCTTACGTGGGATGAGAGGAGAAGAATCATTCTTGACAAACTCAGTTTTTTTGAGTTCAGTATCAGTATCATTTATGTAATCAGAAGATACAGGTTCAATATCATCATCATCATCAACCATTTGCGTTTCATGATCAAAGTTAATAGGCGACTAAAAACATAATTATTAAAATATTATTATGTTTAAAATTTGAAACAGAAATAATTGAGAACAAATAAAACATATATAAAGAAAATGTATACATTGAGCATTTCCTGAGACTCGTTTTCTTTTGTAAAATTAGAATAATCAGGTTCACTAAAAGACTGTTCTTGCTCAATTTTTCTTCGTTTTTCTCTTTCCATTTTTTCAAGTCCTTCACGAATCCAAGCAGGTAATTGCTTTCGTTTTGCTGCATCTGATAAATTGTAAATAAAAAACATTATAATTAAAAAAAATGTATTTCATTGTTAATTTAGAAGTAGAATAAATTCAGGGTTGGAACATACTACAACAAAGTAATTTATAAACCAATATATGTATATGTATGAATATAAATATATATGTACATATTTAAAGAATTTATATTTATTGTTTATTGTTGCATTACGTAACTGCAATTATCAGATATAATATTTGATATTGAGAGGTGATAACCACAAACATTTTGTCATATATTAAT